ATTAGCACAATACCCCCGTGATATAAGGCAGTGTAAAAGCTGCCAGTGTTAGCAGCTAATTACAAAAGTTGTACTTGGAGTGTTTTTAGCTTTTAGCTGGCTAGCCACCAGCGTAATGTGGCAACATTAACGTTACCGCCAAACCGAAAAAACGAAGCAGACGAAGAGGAGGCTGAAGCAGAACATAAAATCTCCCCAATGATCAAGTATCATCGACTAGATGACTGCATAAAAAAATGTTGATCCCACAAAAGCTGTGATGCTGTGGCACCAGGACACTGTCAGAACCAGGAGGCCAAAAAAGGGTGATTATAGAAAGTGAGCAGTGGATTAATATTAATACGTACTCACTGCATGAAGATACTGATAGAAAAGTTACAAAAATGAATTGAACCCAGTGTGACACTGATGTTGGGTAAAACGCTCACATACACGCAACGTTTGTGCACCAGAGAAAAGGGGCACCAGAACTCCACCCCCTCATAAGCGATCCTTAGGATAGCGCACATCTCCTTAGTACTGACGGTGGTGGAGACGGACACATAAATGCTAGACGGGATGACCGTGGTACATAATTTGGATTTCCTCATTTGAAAAGAGAGTAAACCAAATGCATTCCACTTGTTTAGTCTATACAGAAAGTCCACTCACTTAACAAGGCTGCTGATGAGTTATAATAAATATGACTTGTTTTATGTTATATTTTTCCCTACTGTGTTTTTACAAGCAGCGCATCACATCCACACACTGGCGCACAGCATTTGTCTCAAATACAATAAGGCAAAGAACATTTGATAACTATATGTGAAACTATGCACTTGTATTTTCTCGACTGAGGCATCGAAAACGGCATCAATTTAAATGTAATTTGTCCCACTGTTCACCTTATTTATAAGAATAAATTGCACTGCAGGCTAGTATTTATTACTATGATTCCTGATTAAACTGTAAAACATATTTGAGGCTTTCACTTGCAAAAACAGATATCTCTGTAGTTACGATCCTAAATCTTGGATTTTTTTGTGTGCGCTGCAAATTATCTTAAATGATGATTTTTATTGCGCCCTTCAGGGAAAATCAATCAAACGGGTGTTTGTTTATTCAGAAAGGCTTTCATCTGTTTTGCAAATGAACACATGTAATATTAAATTAAGTTTTATTGGCCTGTAATACTCAGATGAAATATTTCTATTTATTTTACGCAATAGTATCCATTTTTAAAACATTTCATCCCTCTGCCATGTGAGTCACCGTTTCTCATTTCTCCAGTTTATGTGAGTACGCATGGCTCAGAGTTTCAGAGTTTCTCACATTCTTTTTCAGTTTATTATAGAGTACAACCTTTGCGTGGAAGGTTGCGTATGCTCGTTTCCAGCCATGTTTTGTGTGCGTATGCACCTTTTATAAATGAGGCCCCAGGTTTGTTATAAAAACTCTTTTGGAGTCTTTGTAGTGATCTAAACAGTTCACACAGTTCACACAATCTCCTGTTAGTCACAACATATTATAAAACGTAAAAATATAATATAAAACATGCAAAGGGTTAATAACACAGTATTTGTAAATTGCTATTTTCCAATACCTTAGACGGATTTCTCTAATTCCCCTTCAACATGAGTAATATACTATGAGTACAGCTGTACACCACAAATAATTTTAACCTGAATTCTTTATTATATATTTTTAAAAATCGAATCTCAATCCTTACTTAAAATTAATTAAAATTAATTCCCAAACTTTTTAAATTATAGATACCAGCTACAATGGATTTCCACGTAATCCACCATAATACACATTATCCCAATACAATGTCTGCCAGAATGTTTTGAGTACTTGAAAGTCAGTTTCTGACAATACCTATATTAGCTTCTTACATAAATCCCACCCACTTTCTCGTGGGTTAAAACACTGAGGATTGATCCCAAATAATATTTGACAGTGTGACACATGTTCTTTAGGTTTCCCTACCCATCATACACTAAACCTCTTGCTCCATTTTTGAATCGCTCACATTTGCCTTTCTCATCTTTCCTCTTTCTCACTGTCTAGTTTGAACCCCCCCCCCCATTCTCTGTCTTTCTCTATGCTCCTGTAGTCTGTTAGTTGTTCCTGCTAGAGTGAAGCGGCTGCATTATCTAGATACATTATTGATGCACGCAGCACTCTGAATAACGCGTGCACACACACACATGCGCACGTACACAAACTGCAACCACTCACTCACATAATAAAAACATACATACACTCGTAAAATAAAACGCATTGTCTCACATAGACACACATACACAGTCACAATACATGTTTTTGAATGTGAGTGGGTACAAGAGAGAAAAAGAGAAGGACGGCACACGTGAATGCTGTTTCTTGATAGCTGAGAGAACACAGCTGCTCTGCTTTTTGGAAAAGATGAAGCAGTCATTCTGTTTGAAACGCACTGGACTAAAACGAAGCAAACACTACACTGACACCCTGTATTACTTTGGGAGGACTTGAAGACATTGGACGAGCTGGAAGAAACAATCAATCTGAAAATAAGTAAAGGGGAAAAATATTCTTGAAAGCAGGGAAAGACTACATGAAGAGTGAGAGGAGGGAGAATTATAAAGAGAAAAGTACTGAGTGGTGACAATTTGAGTAGTGGTGGGGGCCAGAAGAGTTCCCAGCATCTCTTTTCCCAGGGCTTTGTAAGGGCCTCATTAAATATGCATGGTGTTTGGAGCAGAGCATGGGCAAGTGGGACTCCACAAACAGCACAAGCAGCCCAGTCAGGCCCATCCTGCTGTGATGGAGCCCTGCTCTCTTTCACCTCGTCTGTCTCTCAGTCTTCTTCCTCTCCTCCCTCAACTCACTTCACTGTCAGTCCCCTTTTCCTCCCTCCTTTAATTCCTCTTTACTGATGCTTCTCTCTGCTGTCGTGTGTCTGTCTCTCAACTACTCTGATTAGCGCGTCACTTTTCACCGCTTAACCTGTCTGTTCTCGTCTTTTCCCTTTAGTCATTTTCTCTCTCCTTCCTTGGTTCACCCTCTTCCTCCTCTGTGCCTCCACCTCTCATCCGTGCTCATTTCCCTCTTTTTGCTTCCTCCCAGTTTTTTCTCCCCCCCGTGATGATTTGAGTTGTTTGATTAACACGTGAATGAAGAAGGAAGCCCCCAACCCGTTTTTATCTCCCCTCTTCATAGCCGTCTGTCTGTCTGTTAGCTGTTCCTGCTCATCAAGTTAGTGCCATAAGAATTCAGGAATTAAAATGAAAATACATTTTATTCATTATAACAATTGTAGTCATAATTTCAATCATTCATTAATGGTCAATTTTCTCACGCAGTGGAAAAACAAATGTATAACTGATAAGTTGACTCGCTTCGTGAATCGTCTTCACCCAGCTGGCGTACGCCGTGATAGTAATTAAGTGAACCCCCCTCTCAAGCTGTGAGTCGCAGCCAGTTTGTTACCAAGTGGTAACATAACTGGTAGAGTTTTGCAGTATAAACATCTAAAAACTGAAGCGCAAACTTGCTCTGTTTGGGACTGTGAGCTACACTTTATCAGAGGAGGTATTTAAAATAAATAAATACTTGATTGCAGAGCCTGCACACAGCGCATATATTTGCGCAGCATCTTCTCTCTCTTTCTCTTTCTCTCTCTCTCCCTCATGAACACCGCTGCACAAACCTGTCCAAAACAACGCTGTCAATCTCACACACACACACACACACACATCACAGTTACGCTGTCATCCTGTGAGGAACACAAAATATTATGAATTCTCATTAAATTATGTCAGTCAGAGAATATAGATTCTGAATGTGCGGAAAGTTTTGAACATGAGCAAACTATTAAAGTCCAGGAGTTTATATCTGAATATGAATATGAATTCATTTATCATTGAGGTTTTGGTCCCACAAATATAAAGAGGTTACTTCCCCAAACAAAATCATACCTGCCTGTGTGTTGACTCAGCAGGGATGATAGGCTATTAAATATGAAAAGTTGATCTACAGGAGAAGCAGCTGAAAGCAATACAGAATGCCTGAGAGCCTTACTGCATTAAATTCTGTGAGTTTTATATTTTGAGTTGTCATCTGCCACCTGGTCCTTGAGCAAGATACTGAACCCCCAAATGCCCCTGGTGGCTGTTCCACCAGTGTATGAATGTGTAAATGTTAGTTTCTGTTTAGTCAGCTGGGATTGGCTCCAGCCCCTCGAGACCCTGTACACAGGATAAGTGGTTGACGATGGATGGATGGATGGATCTGCCACCTGAATTTTGTGTTTGGCTTTACATAAATAAAAATTTGCACCATAAACTGATGCAGAAAAGGCAGAAATTGATGCAAAAAATCACCAGAATGCAGGAAAGTGGTTAATGCTCTAAAGTTTCATATAATTCAACATTGGAGACTTCTTAAAAATAGCGTTAAAATCATGTCTCAATCACGTGAACCTAATATCGTGTCTCATCTCATCTCGTGAGCTAAGTGTTTTGTCACATCATTAGTTAATGATGATAATTAACAAAAAAAAACAATTAAATACAATACACAATACTTAAAGGGCTTGATATTGCAAATTGCAACCATCAGAATGACCCTCACCTTACCTTCCACTTCAAAGCATGTAGGAAAACACGAAAGGCCCTCTCTAAAGCCAGTGTTTAGTATGTCTGTTCTGAGCTACCGTAGAAACAATGGGGGTGCAACATGGTAGACTCTGTGAAAGAGAATCCACACCCTCTGTAGACACATTTCCTATTTTCAGGTGATTATACAGTAATGAAAACATACTTCAGAATATTAGATTCCATTTCTGCTATATTCTGCTAATATCCCCCTAAGTCTTACTCACACATCCGTGGTCCTTTTAAGTGAATCGATTTTCTTTCCCACCCCTGCTGTACATCAATCTGACTATTTTCCGCTATGCAAATGATTCAGACTGCAGCAATCTCAAGTAGCCTACACTGTACTCTAACTCTTAATTCTGACATTGTGTTTGCCCTCAGGAGATGAAGACACGTCACGCTGGTCCTCTTCAGCAGTACGATGGACAGAGAGAAAGCAGAGCGGGACTGTAACTGCCGCCTTCATGGAGCCCTGATACACAGGGCAGAGAGCAGGTGTGTGTGTGTGATACAAAGTGAAACAGATTTTGTTTGTATGTGTACACAAAAAGAAAGATGACAAGATTAGAGGATTGAGAGAGTGTGGGTTAAGGATAGGGTGAGACAGACAAACAGTGAGAATAAGGTGAGTAGTGAACCAGAGATATAGTGTCTGTGTTATAGTTTTGGCCAGTCTGTTACCCTAAACAGACCTGTAAGGTTGCATTGAAGCTCAGTCTAATCTGGCTCAGCAGGAGTGACGCACAAACTCCCCGTCACAGCCTGCAAACACACTCTGTAATCCCATTTGCCTGCTCTATCTGTGTGTGTGTGTGTGTGTGTATGTGTGTGTATTCAGAGCATTATGCAGACACTGTGTATCATGTTTTAAGTAATGCATGTTCCAACATATTCTGTACTCAACCATGCCTCCTACAAGTATGTGTGGGCAAATACAGTTTGGAGGAAACATACTTATAACTTGGAGTAATTTCACTGGCAACATTTGTTCAAATTCTTGCAGTATGACAATCTTATATTACAGAGAAGTCATAGGGAGCATGTCTTGGTGGATGGTTGGTTGTAAAAGCACAAGACAAGACTTTGACACCAAGGCCAGGATGCGTGACATATGTGTGATGTGTCGAAACATACAAAGATTTAAAGCTGGAGTGCAACACCAAGAAAGATGTCAAAAAATAAAAGCCATAGATGGCTAGGACAAACACTGATATCCACTGGTGTAGCTTTTCCTCGTTGGAGAGCACTGAGAAAAGAGAAGGGACTGAGGGCAGACATGAATGTCGCCCTACTGCTCTTGGACAGGTTGGTATATGTAAAACATTTGAGTGGGCAATGTAACTATTATATTTATGCTACTTAAATAATGGATTATTGTCTTAGACTTAGTGGAAATTTCTGTACTATTTCTATTTCTATCGAGCCTGGGGTGAGCTCATCTGTAGGCATACATCATAAGCATGCCTCGACAGTGTTTGTGTAATTACTCTCACTGTGAAAAGAAAAGACAAAAGTTACATGGATTTCATCATGTTGTGCCGCCATGTTTCTACATTAGCCCAAATGGACAAACTGTGTGTGTTTCGTCACTATGTTGAACATGTACAAAAAGAAGTAAGAAGAAGGAGGAAGATTTATTTAGCACAAGAGCCAACAGAGCGTGTCTGCCACCTTAGCCTCTCCTACGCGCTTGCAAAGGGAAGGGTTAGCGGTGAGTGAGCTGTGGGTTGCAATCAGGTTGCAATTCCCAACCTGCACTCTTTTACTATGACATGTACTTGCTGTAGTTGGTTAAATAAGCCATCTACTGTCCATCCATCCATCCATCGTCAACTGCTTATCCTGCGTACAGGGTCGCGGGGGCCATCTACTGTAAGAAACAAAATAGGAATTTGAATAGGATCTCCTTTTTATGAAAGTATGCATGTTTTATGTGCGACTTGTGCATTTTCGTCTGAATTCACCTGGTCATCAGGAAAAAAATAAAGACACATACGCAGAGGAATATGGATAGAGGGAGAACATAATATACAAGAGGGATCTGAAATGTGGGGGATAATATATGTGCTGCTGCAGCGCCCATCAGTCATTTTGTGAGTATATTTCTCTGCAGCAATTGTTACCCTGCCCATCCCGAGGCTCGGTATTAAGAAAAAATTATCCTAAAAAGACTCCATTGTTGGGAGATGACATTAGAGTTTCCTGCAGGGTATTATAGTGGAGGCATGCACCTCGCCTAGAGAAATGACAAAACATGTCATCAAACAAGTACCATGTTAACTCGTAGGACACTCATATGTTTTCAATAGGTCTGTGTTAATTGCACGAATGACTCTGATCAGAGAGTTATTACAAAAAAGAGCACAGAGCCTCAGCTTGACCACTCGTGTCTGGGATGGAAGACACATCTGCTAACACTTTCCAGGGGAAACCCTTGACATGACATCATGTTGAGATCATCTCAGTGCAGCCATAATGGAATCTGATCAGTAGATGTGGGTTTATTTAAAACAAATTGGCAAATTTACAGGTTTTATTTCTCACCTGTGCCTGTTTGGTATTTTACTAATTATGCACCAAAACAGGTGCAATGTAGGTGTTGTCATTACAGCAGCACACCACAATTAAACTAAAAACATTCCCATGGACAATGGGCTGTGAGTTTGGCAATACTGACATGTTATTTTCCAATGTAGCTAAATTTAATTGAATATATTGAGTAAATTAATGGAAATGAAGACTTCAAAGCAGTAAACCACAAATTTTAATTTTACTCCTGATTGTTTATAACTGCGAATGTGGTAATTGTATGTGTATCACTGTGATTGCAAATAAAGTTTAAGTATGTCAAAAATGGTCAAGCTGTCATATACCCATGAACACAGCACCGTGAGCGATAAACATGGTCTGAGAGATTGTGTAGGTCACTAAAATCCAAAATAGATTTTATAGAATCTTTGCCTTTCAGTACAAAATAAATTATGGAGTATGCTGAAAATCAAAGATGGTGTACACAGATAATGATACATAGTATGAAGTGAATGTTTATATGATGTGTAAGGTAGGTTGGAGATTTTCTTTAACTCCATTTCTGCAGTTGTGTTAGGCACTGGGAAACAGATGTGAGAAATCTGATTCCTCCCATTGACCAATAATCTAATAGAAAGAGAGGGAGGAGAGCACACAGACGAGGAACTGTATGGTGAATATTGGGATGGCAGCAAAACATTCAAGAGAGACAACAGACGTTAATCTGGATTAAATCAAAGAAAGGACCAGTGTGAAAAGGAAGATTTTTGACTTTCACTGACTCTTATTTAACCAGGGAAATGAATGACTACCATGCTAAAGTAACAGATGTACAGGAGACAACTCATTGTCAATTAGTAAAATATCAATTTCATCTCTAACAAGCCTATAAATACTTGATGCAGAGAGAAGCAGTAAGCATATGTCTTTAAGATGTGTTCACATTGTACCTCATTTAAATTATTTAAGAAATATAAACTTGAAATAAATACATGAAAATTGAACTTTTAGAGCTGATTCAGTAGACATGAATCTGTTTCTTACACCTGTCCGCACAGTGGGGTTGCCAGATTGGAGCTCTGCCAGCAACAATATCCAGGTCATTAGGTAGTGCAAGTACTCGGCAGCACATCCTGTAGCCTGTAGAAGCTTTATAGAAGTGTTGGGCCAATTAAAATTCTGTTTGTCAAGACATACCTCCACTTGTTTAACTACTTATTAAACCAGTGATTTCAAACCTGGACTCAAGACCCTCACCACCCCTGACCCCTCGCAAAATGATTTACAAGACTGGAAAGCTGTCACAATAAATTGTTATATACATCTAGATGTGTTAAACAACTCAGGACATACCACCCTTTGTTTGAACCCACCCATTTTTCAAGTGAGCAAAACTATTGGAACATGTGACTGACAGATGTTTCTTGTTGCCCAGGTGTTGCCTTTTAGGTTGATTGTCCAAACATTAAATAGCTCTGCATGACTAGTCTAAGGCTGTATTCGAAACCGCCTACGATACTAGTAGTACGTACTGATTTGGCCCAAATGCAGTATGCAAACAAAAGCAAAATCTGCAGTATGCCAAAAGTACCCGGATGGCTTACTGATTCGGGAAAAATCTGCAGTATGCTTCGGACCAGTCTGCCTCGTGTACTGTGGCCCATAATGCAAAGCGCTAGACCTGTAACAACAACCCGTCTTTTCTTTAGAGGACAACAACAGGACTTGTTTTACAATTTTCATATGCTGTTTCATCACTAAATCCACTTCTAACAAGTTTTGAGGCGAGAAATCAACTGTGTAGATTTTAAATATCTGCATTTTTAGGGAAATTGTTGACGAATGGAGAATGTGCTTGAACGTTTTTGGGGTTGAGAAGCTCCGCAAATTCAGCGTGGAAGCTAATGAGCCAGCCCGTGGGGTTAGCTAACGAGCCAGTCAGCTCACAGAGCCCCCTGGTCCTCACGCCAGCTCACGGAGTTCACATCCACATAGACCTCTGCAGCTAACGCAGCAGTCCAGCAACAACTGGAGAGGAAAGACCCGCATCTGTGAGACAGTTTAAATGTTCGTACCGCTGTTATTCTGTCTTTACATTCTATGTAATGTTGTAATGTTAAATAAAGAGACATCTAGCTCGTGATGGACACTTTTAGTGCAATGTTACAGTTGTGGTTATAGTACTTGCTTTTTATTTGCTTTTATTTTATATAATTCTTATTTATGCACCAATATACCGAAGCAAACATCTGCTACAGATCGGCTGCAGCCCTGTTACATAAGATTTTTTTTAAAGAATACTTTTTAAGCGTAATTACATTTGTATTCCTCTTATTGTTCCGATATTGAACACTGGAAACTAGCAAAGCCTAGTGTAGCATGCTACAAAATAAATCTATTCAACTGTTCTGTTTCATACTACATACTATACCTCATACAGTATGCAGTATACAGTACATACTGCATACTGCTGTTGCCAGTAGTATGTAGTAGGCGGTTCTGAATACAGCCTAAGTTTTCATCCTTGGTTTCAACCTATATAGACTGCATTTCCTGTTAAAGAGGATAAACCAACAGACCAGAGAGCTGTCTATGGGAGAAAAGCAAGCCATTGTCAAGCTGAGAACATTGGGCATAGCAAGCACACCAATTTGGAATGTCCTGAAAAAGAAAGAAACTACTGGTGTACTGAGCGTATGGTGCTGAGGATGTCAGGGATGATGGTGTTGAACGCCGAGCTGAAGTCCACGAACAGGATCCTTGCATATGTCCCTGGAGAGTCGAGGTGTTGCAGGATGTAATGCAGTCCCAAGTTGACTGCATCATCCACTGACCTGTTAGTCCTGTAGGCAAACTGCAGGGGGTCCAGCAAGGGGCCTGTAATGTCCTTCAGGTGGGCCAACACCAGTCTTTCAAAGGACTTCATGACTACAGATGTCAGGGCGACAGGCCTGTAATCATTTAGT